TTTTCAGTCTGGATAACACCATACAATATTGTGAGCACTTTCTACTACCTAGACAGCATGGTGCTGTATTATATTGTTTTTCTCTCCAGACAATGCAGTGCTGGATTGTAAGTAGAAATGCAAAGCACATTGCAATGTTTGTTCTTTATTAACGCCTTGAGATGTATTTGGGTATATGCTGCAGGCTCCTGGCTGGCTCAGTCTCAGGCTCCGTGACAGGCTTCCATAAACAACAGTTCAGCACTTCACAGGACATCCTCATTTACATCTGACCTGTGCTGCTTACCTCTGAAGGGCTGAGGGGCATGAATATTTTTTTAGTCCCTGCTCAATGATCCTGGGTGCTTGAGTCACCTCCTGTTAAGTTGTGCTTCCTGGAAGAGACTAGCCACAACTGCAGAGTGCTGCATCCCTCCCATGTCCTCCTTACAGGGGGTGGGTGAAAGTAGGAGCAGAGGGCAAAAAAGTGGCCATGCTAGCCTTGTCATCTGGAATTCCCATGGGGCTGGGGGGATTCCAAGCTGGCTTCTTAAAGAATGTTCCTGGGTATCTTTTTGTGCTGCTTGAGCAGTGCAAAAGGAAAGAAGCAAAACCCAGGATTTGTCCCCATGCCCTTGCAAGCGTCATTTATTACCGTATTAACTTGTGAATCCCTTTGAGGTAGGTCTGTGTTCTAATGTCTGTTTCATGGAATAGGAACCAGCGATACAAATAACTTTGTGACTTGCCAAAGCCAAGGAAGGAATTGATATAGGCAGCAGAAGTAAGAGCTCCTGGCTCCCTGGCCCATGCATAAGATGCTAGAAAATGCAGCCTCTACAACCTTCTTAAAACAAATTATCTTCTTGCTTGTTGCAGTAATAGCTGAGAGTCTGGTACTTGTAGCTCTGCAGGCTTTTACATACAGGGTGCCTCTCAACATGTGTACATACTTTAGCTATCAGGAATAGAGTGTTATACTGATAGTCAGAGCTGACTCTTGTTTCCTTAGAAAGCAAGAAACAGAACTTTCAGTGGACACCAGTGAAAGGTCAGAATTCCTACTACTGACGTCCAGGGACCCATCACAGAGGTGAACAATAGGGCAATACACATTACACATTTTTGAGATGCTCTGTATTAGCAGAGGAGTCCAAGCTGAGACTGGTTCTCTAGCCCTGAGTTTCCAGAACCTGAATATTTTCAAAAGTTTAGGTCCCAGGTGTATGTTCAACAGCTCTTAAGTTCTCTCTTTGATTCCTTAGCAGGTGATATCCAAAGTGTTTTGGGAAAAGTGGCGTTTGGGCTCAGAAGGAAATGGTAAAAGCTTCATGGGTAAAGTGCCCCTTAAAGCAAAGTGCACATGCACTCAAGAGGAACTAAATATGTATAAGGCCCAATTTGCCCTGTAAGCATGACAGCTGGATGTTACAAGGTGGTGAAATTTGGTACTGTTCCCCGTCCCACTCGTGCCACTTCCATGAGGCAGGTTGCCAGTACTAAGGCACATTTTAAAAATCTTAATTTTCCATCTTATCTTTGCAGCCAGCAGCAAGCTCTGCTCTTTCTGCATACCTGCTTCTTGCCTTCTTTTGGCCATCTCTGAAGACTAAGATGAGAGAGAGAGGAGGTACATATATAAATCAGGAAGTACGGGCACGTGGGAATGGGGACCAGCACAGTCAGGATTCTGGGAGCTGGAATGTATGGAGCCAAGAGCAGAAAGTTCTTGCGAGAGGTTCAAAGGTACTGGTTTGTCAGGGAAAGGCAGCCTGGAGAGGAGATCTTAAATAGAACAAAAGCTCATTGGGACAAACTGAAAAAAACATTGTGGTCCTGGGCTGGGAGGGAAGAAGAGATGAGAGCTCACAGAATGAGGTGGGGAAAGAGTGGGACAACAGGAAAAATAAGACATACAAGCAATAGAGATATCTGGAAGGTAGAGGGAAAGGAGATGAAAAAAGGAAAACATAGGTGATTTTTTAAAAATAATTACGAAGGTATCAACATTTGTATGTACAAGCACAAGTTTGTACCTTGTACTTTTAAATCACCATAACTATCAAAGACCCATGAGGGTGGAGTGCAGGGAAGGGAGGGGAGAGCTGGCAGGACTGCTGGTGAACAGGAATAGAAACAGCGCAAAGCCACCAGGGTTTTACTTCCATTTACCACATTGTAGGAGCAGACACATGGTGCAGTAACCAAGGAGGAGCTGCTGCTTATCAAATCCTTCCCCATCCTTTCAACTCAGGAGCATTTTTCCATCTGTGCACGCCCAGAGGGTAACCTTGGCTGTGGAGGGGATGGGGCCTTCTTGAAGCCTTGGGTGATGCTGGCATGGATTTTCCCAGGAATTAAAAACCAATACAAACCTCTCCACTTTCTGCCTCAGATGCGAGGCACAAGCAAGCTAAGCCTGCTTCAAGCCTCCTCGAGAAGCAAAGGGAATTCTCCTGAAACAAGACACTCCACTACACATGCTTCTCCCCGGGGAGGAGACGCGCGAACAAACACATCGCAGACGTTACGTACAACACTTCTGCTGCGCTACACTAAGCTGCCCCGCCTACCACAGCCACTAGGGCTGTCTGCACTAGGGGTTTTGCTGGGTCGCCCCGCCCACACCCGCGTAAGCCCCGCCCCCAACTCGAGCCCCGCCCCCTCTGGCGCTGCCCGCCCCCGCCCAGTCGCCCCTAGGCTACCG